TTATGAGGGCTGTTTAGAAGGACTGGGATAATTCTCTATTTTTCCGTTAATTTGGTGGCACCAATTTATGATGTAGCTGCTGACAAACATAATTTGCCTTGCAGTCCTCCGGCTTTTACCACAATGTAAAGAACATATCAGGCACTTTTTCATGGGTAGGACTGATTTATTTCAGCCCAGCCGTAGGCCAGTGATTATTATTAGTTCTCAGAATATGCATATGGGTTTATGATTGATTTTTACTTTCAGCAGTAGGATGCACAAAAATAAGAAAGAGGCATTTATGAAGTTAGAAATACTCAGTCTTTAATTCCGTATCTCCAGGTTATTTAATGACTTGGAATTGTTGGCAGGGGTGAAATGTACCAGCCACTTTGACGCTTGGCTCACCCTCTGTGGTGGTTCCCCAGGATTCACTCCTACATTGAATGTGTGTATACCTGGGGATATAATACTTCACATATACCCAGAGTGAACCGTAAGTAACCTAAAGCTAGGATTTCCAGTCACAGTGGCAGAGTAGTAGGACCACGAGCTCACCTCTCCTCGGGACCTCAACAGAACCACAACTGACTGCTGAAACAGCCGTCGGAAAAAAAGACTGGAACCTAGCAAGAAAGTAAAGCTTTAGTCAGCTAAAATATTCCATGCACTTTAAATTATTTAATTACTTTGGTAATATTGTTTATCATAGAAAAATACAGATAATCAGAATTTTAAAAGGCTGTCATCTTTAATACACATACTTGTTAGAATTTTAAATCTTTTTTTTTCCCAGAGCTTTCTAGATGTGAGGGTGTGTATATAATTTCTGTTTTACAAAAATGAGATCCTACTATACATACCTCTGTGTGATGTTTTTCGCGTAATATGTGGCTGAACATCTTTCCAGGTCAGAGGCTTCTGTGGCACGTGTGGGGCCCCCACCCATGTTCTGATGCGCCTCCTGTAGGGGTCCCAGATAGGACTTCCTGTTGAAAGGAACCCATTATTGATGGGAATGTGTTATTTCCACTTGTATCTCTTCTGTTTCCATTGGAACAGGAAAAATACCAGGCATTTACGTCGTGTTTAATCACTGCACAGCTTTCTAGTGTTTGGAATCTGTCATCATTATTTTAAGTAGCTCCAGGTTGCTGGGCAGTCATTGTTTCCTACTTTCCTTTATGACAATCAGTGTTGGAATGAACTGTGCATATCTTTGAAAAGGAAAAGGTTGGTGGTAAAGAAAAGAAAACTAATGTGTGAGATGTGACTGGATTATCACGTCAAGAAGCAGAATTACTAGATGTTACATATTTGAGCAAAGATATCCTTTCTTCGTTAATTTTGTGAGAAGCTATTTCATCTATATTTTTATAAATTTTTGGTACTTCGAAGTTGCTGTATCAAAGTGTAGTGCTTTTTAAATATTTGGTTAAACAATTGAATACTACAGAAAGGCTATAATGAAAAATAATTTTCTCTTGTTCAGCCTCTTCTTAGCCCAGGCTACTCCCTAGAGGTGAACCTGTTTTCTAAGCTGTTTATTTTGGCAGTCATCTTTAAATCTTAAAATAATTATGATTATTCATTATTTCTTGGCTTATCCATTCTAGACCCCGTCCTGACTAGCTCGCATGCCCCTAGTCCACACACCGTTAGTCATCGGGTACTCAGGAAGCACCTGCTCAGTGTTGGGCACTGTTCTAGGGATTCATCAGAAACAGAATCAAAGCCTCTGTTTTCCTGGAGTTTATTTCTATTTTCTCAATAAAATTTTTATTTTAGAATAGTCACAAACTTCCAGAAAAGTTGGAGAGCATAACAAAAAAACTTTTTTCCTAAACCATTTGCCTGGAATGCCCCGTCTCTCCCCACTACTTGAGTGTGTTTTTCCTAGAAACAAGGGTGTTCTCAGAAATGTGCACAATACAGCCGTCAGACTCAGAAAATTAATATGGATGCATGGGAGCATCTAACCCTCAGACACCGCTCAAATTTTGCCAATTGTACCACTAATAAAGGAGGGACAGCGGCGGGCAGACGCAGCTCAGCATGTCTCATCGTGCACCCCTTCAGTCCCCTCTGCCTGCAGCAGCCGCCAGTTGTCCCTGACCTCGCTGACCTCGATGCTGTTGAACTTTGTGCACCAGTTCTCTTGTAGAACGTGCTCAACTGATTTCCTGTTTTCAGTTTCATTGATTTTTGCTCTGATTTTTATTGTTTCCTTTTTTTCTTGCTTACTTTAGATTACTCTAGTTTCCTGAAGTAGAAGCTTATATTATTAATTGTAGATTTTTCTTCTTTTCTGATAAAAACAATTAATGCTATCAATTGCCCTTTAAGTACTGCTTTTGCAGCATCCCCCAAATTTTGATAAGTATTTTTGTTCTCATTTAGTTAAAAATATTTTAAAATTTCTCTTGAGATTTCTTCTTGACCCATGTATTATTTAGAAGTATGTTGTTTAATCTTCAAATACTTTGGGATTTTCCAGCTGTCTTTTTGTTACTAAGTTGGTTTCATTCCATCGTGGTATGAGAGCCATTGTGTAGTTTCTGTTCTTTCAAGTTTGTTTAGGTGTGTTTTATGGCCCAAAATGTGGTCTGTCATGGTGTAGGTTCCGTTTGAGCTTGAGAAGAAGGTATATTCTGCTGTAGGATGAAGTAGTCTGTAGATAGCATCTATGTCCAGTGGATTGGTGATGCTCTTGAATTTGACTGTATCCTTACTGATTTTCTTCCTGCTGAATCTGTTCATTTTTGATAGAAAGGGATTGACAACTCCAGCTATAATAGAAGGCTCATCTATTTCTCCTAGAAATTCTATAACTTCTTGCCTCAGGTATCTTGATGCTCTCTTGTTAAGCACATACACATTAAGGACTGTTAGGTCTTCATGTAGAATTGCTCCTTTATTGTTATTTAATGCCTCTGTCCTTCATAATTTTCTTGGTTCTGAAGTCTGCTCTGTGTGAAATTAATATAGCTACTTCAACTTTTTTTAAGCTATACATTTTTTTCATAGCGATATAGTTGATTTACGTATATAACTTTGAGGTGTACAATGTAGTGATTCACAGTTTTTAAAGGTCATAATCTATTTATAGTTATTGTAAAATATTGGCTATATTCCCTGTGCTGTACAATAATCTTTGTAGCTTGTTTATTTTATACATAGTAGTTTGTACCTCTTAATCTTCCCCCGCCTCTTCCCACTAGTAACCACTATATCTGCGAGTCTGTTTATTTTTTGTTATATTCACTAGTTTGTTTTATTTTTTAGATTCTGCATATAAGTGATAGCATACCGTATTTGTCTTCCACTGTCTGACTTATTTCACTAAGTGTAATATCCTCTAGGTTCATCCATGCTATTGTAAATGGCAATTTTCACTTTTTTTCAATGCTTCACAAACTTATGTGTCATCCTTGCACAGGGGCCATGCTAATCTTCTCTGTATCATTCCAGTTTTAGTATATGTGCTGCCAAAGTGAGCACATAAAATTTTATTTTTATGGCTGAATAGTGTTCCATTTGTGTGTGTGTGTGTGTGTAGATATGTATATATATACTCACACACACATAGATATATATACATGTATATACATCTTCTTTATTCATTCATCTGCTGATGGACACTTAGATTGCTTCTGTATCTTGGCTATTGTATATAATGCTGCTATGAATATTGGGATGCACGTATCTTTTAGAATTAGTGTTTTTGTTTTCTTCAGGTATATACCCAGGAGTGGAATTGCTGACTCCTGTGGTAGTTCTATTTTTAGTTTTTTGGGGAACCTCCATACTGTTGTCCACAGTGGCTGCACCAATTTACATTCCCACCAACAGCGTAGGAGGGTTCCCTTTTCTCCACATCCTCGCCATTTGCTATTTGTGGTCTTTTTTTTTTTAATATTTAATTTATTTATTATTTAATCATTTTATTTTGGCAGGGGGCAGGTAATTAAGTTTATTTATTTTTGGAGGAGGTACTGGGAATTGAACCCAGGACCTTGTGCATGCTAAGCATGTGCTTTACCACTTGAGCTATACCCTCCCCCTATTTGTGGTCTTTTTGATGATAGCTGTTCTGATGGGTGTGAAGTGATATCTCAGTGTGGTTTTGATTTGCATTTCTCTGATGATTAGCAATGTTGCTAATCTTTTCATGTGCCTGCTGGCCATCTAGATGTCTCTTTTTGAGAAATGTCTATCCTGGTCCTCTGCCCATTGTTTAA